GTAGCCTTGTCAAATGGATTATTATCACGGTGACATGAGTCAAGACGCATGTGAATCATACTCAAGCATAGTCCATTATTATATGGCCGAGTCTCGTGCCACGCCCGTGGCAGGAGACAATGTGGCTATTGCCACGCCCCGGAAGTAAACGTACCGACGTTCTATGTGTAGTTTCGGTCGTCATATACAGATTTTTCACTTGTTTTACCATCGGTGTTTGAATAAAATACTTTCACAGTGGTGTCGTTGTCAGAAATAATTTCAATTCGCGCATTTTATACGAAAATGCGAAGTCCAAACCATTGACGGAAACTTCGTACGCCCTCCGGTGTTGGGAACTTGGAACACTACGTTTACCTAAAGCCAACCTCGGCGTTTATCAATCTAGTAAAACTCGCAAATTACGGCGTCGTTACCGTATTTTTAAAGTTTTAACTAAAATTAATATAGTACCAATAATATATTATTTCCTCTTTTTTACAGTCAGAGAAATGGTTAATGTTAAATGTAACTGGAAATTACCAATATTCAATAATATGCAACAGGTGATACTTTGAATTATGACGACGAGGCCATCGACTGTACGAATGAAAACCCAAGTTATTTTATCCGAATAATAAAACAGGTTTTATAATTGAAAGTGAGCTTATAACAGAGAGCATGTAGCACGACGAATATCAATAGTGTATTCATTGTCATTGCGACCTGTTGTTTTTTTTAGAGAAAAAACCTTGCAACTTAGCATAGTAAATTTCCACAGTATTTCCACATTTACTTTTAAAACTGACTGTGTGGTACCTTCACACTATTTCGCTGTTGTACAAGTCGTTAATCGACGCAATTACACCATGATTACTTTGAAATATGCCCGAAACTTAGTATAGTACATTAACAATTTTTACATGTTCCCCTATTTAGTCAGCCGTTAATCTATGCAATTATTACACTAGTGAATTTTAAAAAATCCAACAACCTTATAGTTTATTAATGTGATGAATGCCTTCAGATTCAGAAATATGTATACACACGCGATATAGATCGATTTTAGAATTATTTTCCAATTCGATAGCTGCAGTATTTGCTCAGAAGGTTTCATCTTTTGAACCTGTTGCACATGAGATGGTGCAGATATACTAGTAGTTTATTTTACCGTAACATAAAGTTTATCTATAACAGAAGTGATTTATTAAATGCAACTCGTAAATCTTCACAATATTTTGTAATGGATCTGAAAAATAAAATGCATTAAGGATCACACAATAAAATGTTGCGCCATACAAAACTGCTACAAATTGAAACATTAGTTTTAGTGTTTTTACATAGCAGAGCCTTTTCTTTGAAAACTTGCATCACTGAAATCGACAACAGTCGGGGAAACAGGAGCGTTTCTTTTTTTGTGTGTTGTGTTGTTACACAGCGTAGCCAGACGGTCGCCGATGTGATGTCTGTGATTCCGATGTAATGTCTGTGTTTTTTCTTTGAAAAGAAAATTTGCGTCACTGAAATCGACAATGTTCAGCCAATGTTGAAATCAACAACTTGAACATGTCGGAGAACCAGTAGCGTTTGTGTGTGTATGTAAACTTGCGTTGTTGAAATCAGTCATGGGAGTTACAGTAGTCAAAAACAGTCAGTGAAACGGATGCGTCACTGAGTATGTTGTGTAGCATATAACATCCGGAAATAAAATGCCGCCACGGCAACAGACGTGAAAGAAGGTGACAATTGTTGACCAATGACCAGTTTACACCTCGACATTCACAACTGGCCGAGTTGTACATTTTTTTCTTGGCCGAGTTGAAATCTGGCCGAGTTCGGTTGTATTCGTATCACGTACCTGATTTTCGACTATCGTAATATTTGGATATGTTTCCTTAAATTTTCTGACCGCAATTACCCAAGAGACAATATGACTTCTGCGACCAATCTCAGCATGAGGATTAGCTGGTTCCAGGCGGAATGCAACCCACTGTCATAAAAGGGGTCAATCAATCTCCTACACAGAGTTCTATTTCTACCGGGGGGGTGGGGGTGTAAACTATAAATAACTCAGACAAGATGGTGTCCGGTTGGAAAGTTTCTTTATTGAGCATGTGCAGAACGAACACATATAAATTACAAGTATAAGCTGTAGGTGGCGCTAAAACACCATGACATCCCCTTTAGTTTGAAGATGAAAAAGTCATTGAAAATGACACAGTCCCCGTTAAATTTTTGAAAGTTCTCTTTGAGCTCGTCATATTAAAGCGGAGGGGTTGTCGCAAGCGTGTCCTTGAAACTTGAGTTCCAAGTGGCGTATACAACAGATTGTTTATTTACATCAAAACATGTGTTCCGTGTAATAGTAATATGGCCAAAAATAAAAACAGCCGTTATTCGGCCATCTTTGATCTGATTATTAAACACACTGATATGTATGATGTATGTGCCAAATACGAATGAAAATGGTACAGAAATTGTGGAAGTAGTAAGGCCAAAAAGTCAGATGGCTGTCAATCGGCCATCCTTGACCAGATTTTAAACAAATTGTCATGGACATGCATCCTAACATGTATAAAGTACATGTATGTGCCAAATTTTGAATGAAAACTGACAAAGCATGTCCAAGATACCGCATAAAAAAAAAACTAGATGCCTACCAGTCGACCATCTTTGATCCAATTGCGAAATAAATCGCCATGGACATGTATCCTAACATGTATAATCTATGTACCAACTTTGAATGACAACTGACAAAGCATGTCCAAAATACAACATTTTCAAAAAACAAGATGGCTGCCAGTCGGCCATTTTGAATCGAATCCCTAAACCACTGCATGTGCATATGAACCACTTAAGATACTAGGCACATGCAAAGAATGAACGGAATCGGTCCAAGGGATTCAGAGATATGACTCTGGACGGACGCACGGACAGAACGGGACTAATAAAAAGTGACTGACAGTTTAAGAGTCTTGTTGTTTGATGTGTCATATAAAGTTTTCATATAGTTCTGGAATTCTTTATATTTAAACTTGAACTCATAAATAAGCTAAACTCGAAATTTATAATTTTGGAAACATCTTAACTCTATCAACTTAGTAATAAACTTGTCTATGTAGTAACACTCAAAATATGTTTAAACATGTCTTGGAGATAAGGGTAGACTGCCTTAACTTCATGTGACTCAGTAAGAGATTATTCTGCCCTGTTATGACTAAGTCAACTTCTATTTAACGAAATCGTGATATTTTCTGTTTGGTTTCACAACTCTACCAGACTTAGTTACAATTGCCGGTTTTGCAATTTTTCTAGGACTGGGCTTCTGAACATTTATAGTGTTTCGATTGGATTCAATATTGTCTTCTATGGAAACTGGTGGTAATTGTTCACTGCTGGTTTTCTCACTGCTGCCTGGAATTTTCCTAATATGACTTCTGTTTCTCCTGAGTACTTTTCCATTGGGTGTTAGGATCTGGTATGATCTGGGTTGTTCTGTTGCTGCTACTACCTCTCCCGGTGTCCAGATTTTGTCATTTTGGACACGAACTTGGTCACCTGGTTTCAATGGTTGGTATGGCAACTGCCTGGAATGATGATTATGCATTTTCTTCATCACATTTTTGCAATCGAGTAGTTTCTTGTGCACT